TTTATACTCTAAGCTATTTTGAATACTGTATTTTCTGCTTTGTCTCATGAGTTTGCAATAAAATTTATTTTAAAAATCAGATCAAAGTGTATTCACAAGTGAATTTTACGCTCATAGTCTGAGCAGTTATCTTGAGGTCATGTCAAGAGAGTTAGTACGTGTGGTGTTCAACTTTTTAAGCAGAGATTCCCAGTGAGCTGTCGGAACCCTGGGTCTGCTCTCACACAGACACAGCTGTTGTTTGGAGAAAACAATATGATTAGGGAAAGGAGCAGGAGCAGGGAGAGTCAGCCAAAACCAACGCTGCATGAAAAGCCTTGAGGGAATCTGATACCTGGTAAACTAATTAAAAGATAAAATTTTTTAAAAATTAAAAAAGTTAAGATAATACAATTAGCTGAGAATTCAGCTCCCTATGAAATGCACTCAGCTCATGAATATGCATATCTATATTTACTGCAACACCAGAAACAGCAAAGGATAACGAGGGGATTTTTCCTTCCTTTTGGTCAGGTTCCCAGATCCAAGGGCCCATAAAATTACATACTTTGAAGAAGTTAGGTTTGCTTTAGTTCCTGAGTTTGAGATAAGGACAGAGTAACTACTGGGAAGTGATGTCTGAAGTTCACACTACAGGGGTAAATCTCAGGAGCCTTTTCTGCAGAGACAAGTAGATCAGAGCACTAAGGGAAACAGGTAGGGGGCTGACAAGGAGCCCCAGGGCAGTCAATAAGAGGGAAGAAATTCTCCAGAGGAGACAAATTTAAGAGATACTGGTATAAAATAAGGGACCCAGTGCCACAGGAAAAAAAAAAAAAAAAGGTCCTAAATCCTGCTAAGAAGGCTATGGACACCACAGCTGGAGAAGGGCACAGCAAATGAAATGTGATATCAGATATTTGGATCCACGGACAGGAAGAAGACAGAAACTCGAATCTGAGGTGCAAACAATGACTAGGAGGTTGGGAAAAAGAGGAGGATTCGACTGCAGCCCACAGAACAGTTGTGGTGCAGAAGTAAAAGGAAGGAGAGAGCGGCAGGAACAAGAGCATCAGGTCAGAATAAAGCTGTTGTGGTAGAATAAAACTGTGTGGATCTTTGATAAATCGGAAACTTCAGAGCACTAACATGAAAGATCCAGCAAATGTTCTGGACTCTGAAAAGCTCTGAAATCTGAGACTTGTAGTCTGATGAGGGATGATCCACCTGCATTTGATATCAAGGGGACAGCAAGAGGGAGTAACCGAGCCAACCCCAAAGGAAGTGAGCAAAAAGGAGGCCCGGAGGAAGATGGAAGGAGCAGGGCTGGGGCGGAGTAAAGACAGGATGGTGCAAACCGGACAGCTCCTTCCTCAGTTTCCTCAGCAAAGCCCAAGCAGGGTTGCTGTGGAAAGTTACACCCTTACAGCCAGCCAGAAAACAGGAGTCATTAAGACTGTTGCATAAAGGAAAAAGGATAATCGCAGTTTCCCGAGTGTTGGCAGGATAGGCCTAATGTGGACTTCTGTGACTTCTTGGTGTTCTCCAAATGCCAGGAACAGGAGAAAGTGGGACATGGCCCTGGACTGTGATCTATCAGACACAGGATCCGAGAACCGGGGATTCCACTGAGTGCTCACTATCATCGCTTCACAGAAACCACCAGATAAAGAGTCACGCTTCAGACTTACTGGAGTAAAGAGACTGCTCAGTGTGGGTGACACCTTAGTTGTCTAGCATCATGGAAAGCATATCTTACCTTGTGTCAGTATATTCCGCCCTTCCTTGCAACTTATTTCTTCATTCCTTGGGCTAGCTTCCTGATAGGCCTCTGGTCCCATTTTCCTAGCTGTCCCTCTGTGCTCAAGTACCATTCTTCAGCAAAGCTGGCATCTATTATTGCTCATGCTGTCCTCTGTCAACAAACTAGGACATCCAGGCATACCTGCCCCACACTCACATGCACGTATGTATGTGTGTGTACACACATGGAAGTATGCATGCGCGTGAACACTCACACACAGTGCCTTTTTTTAAGGTAAAGATCACAATATCTCTGAGGTTATCTAACCCAGTTTCTTCATTTACACAGAAGTTGAAGTCCAGAGACGGCAACTTGATATGTTAGTTGTTTTCTCCTTGACACAGCTGGTAGGTGATATTGCTCTTGAGTTCTGGGTTGGCTTTCATCCTAAGAAAGTGTCGCTTTATTCAGAGCTAAACACAATCATGAGGTCTAAACCGGATTGGTCCAGAGCAACTGGAGGCAAAAGTGCTAGAAGTACTCTGAGCAAAATAAGTGGGGGGAAAAAGTGAATTTTGGCTTGTAGTTCCAGAGGGATAGAGTCCATCTTGATGGATGAGACATGACACCCGGCAAGGAAAGCATGGAGGCAAGAGCAGACGCTGTCTGATCAAACCGAACCCAACTCAGGATGGAGAGAGAAATAGCAAGAGAGGCTGAGCTGGAAAAGCTCAAAGCCTGTCTCCAGGGACATACTTACCCCAGTAACTAACCTCCAGTTCTTACAGAGTCTGTCCCCTTTCCAAACAACAACATCATCTAGGGACCAAGTGTTCAAACACGTGTCCCAGTGCAGGAGGACACTTCATATTCACACCACACAGTGTCTATGGAAAGAAAACTACTCACTAGAAGATGCACCAAGTAAGGTGATGGACAAAGTGTGGGCAATTGACTGATTGACTGACCCAATAGGATGTGACGGAAGTCCAGCATGTTAGAGTTCCCACAAGGTAATGCATTGAGGAGCAGACCTTCTCATGCATTTGACAGATGTACATGAACACAGGGAAGACTGAAGAAGTGACTTAGCAGTTAAGAGCACTTGTTGCTCTTCTGGAGGACCCAAGTTCAGTTCCCAGAACCCATATTGGCCTGCTCACAACTTCCTGGACTCCAGCTCCACAGGATCCAATACTCTCCTCAGGCCTCTGTTGGCATCTGTGCATATACATGTGCGCATATGCACAAAGACACACATGAACATGAATAAAAGTAAGAGCACAGGCCTAGCTTCTGTGAACTTTCTGTTCTCCACATTCTTCCGGTGTCTCCACTTACCATATATATATATAATATATATATTATATATATAATTGCATGCCACAATATGATGAGATGCACCCTGAGAAATGTATTGGAAGGCGACCTCTCTTGTGACAACATTATAGAACACACACACACAATTCTAGATAACATTGTTTATTATTTACCAATGCAACATGGCATATCCTATTGCTTTTAGAATACAAACACATATAGATAGCTGTGACTATGAATCCTTTAAGCAACTACAAAACAATGGTAAATATTTGTGTATATAAACACATTTAGACATTAAAAATGATACTGGGCAATAGAATTTTCAATTCTATTACAATCTTATAGGACCACTCTCATATATATATGGCCAACCACTGACACAAGAACATTTGTGTTCGGGACTGAAATGCAGAAATTTCGACAAACAAAGCAGTGTGGTTAGAATTATCAAGTTTTATTCTCAGTAGCCCTGATTCTATTTTCCCTTAAAAAATAAACATACTATGCTGTTTGTTTTTCGACATCGTTTTCTTACAAACTTTCAAGAAACAAAGTCTCTTGAGATATGAACAATCTGTACCCCATTTCTTTAAAACAGGCTAAAATAAATATTTAACGTTGCATCTCTAAGTATTTGGTTAGCTGTGTTATTGTATTTGCTGTTTATTTTAGCTGGATCATGTCCTCAGGCTTCCATGAGTCTTTCAGATTTTAACAACAGCGTCGCTTTTGTGTATTCTGGGTAGCCTGAATAAAGGTGAAAGCTTGTGCTGCGGATGATTTGTCTCAGCCAGCCTGGGCTGCTACACCAGGAATACTATAAAGTGGGTGATTTAAACAAAATGCATTTATTGCTCACAGACTGAGAAGGTCTGGATCAAGGCACAGATCCGGTGTGTGGCATGGTTCCTGGCCTCTGCGTGACCCTCGTGTTACATTCTTGCAAAGAGGAGCAACTTCGTGTGTCTCGTGTCTTTTATGTGTGTGTGTGTTCATAGGTGTAGGTGTAAGTGTCCTAGCATGCATGCACATGTGGAAGGCAGAATATAACCTTGGTTTCCACTCCTCACATGCCATCCTCTTTTTTTTATTTTGAGCAGATTCTTTCACTGGCCTGGAATTCACTCAATGTACTTGACTGACTGGTCTGCAATCCCCAGGGACATGCCTGCCTCAGCCTGCCCAGACCGGATTTCAAACATGAATCCTCATGCCAGACTTCTTTTGAGTTCTGGCGACTGAACTCAGTTTCTTGTGTTCTCAGTTGAACCCCTTATTTATTATGAACTACACATTGTTTGAGAATTCCCAATGCAAGTTCTATATTTATATCTCCCCCACCTCCCATCCGATCCTCTCATGTAAGTCTCTGTTCATGAACACTCTAAGCCGCTTCACAAGGGTTCTGTTCTCAGGACTTGGTCACTTCTGGAATATTCCACTTGTGGGGACTATTACGGTGGGGATTTAGACCTCAGCATGTGGATTTGGAAGGAAGCTTTTAGTCCACAGCATTCATTTATTCAAAGAACCCTGTTCTTAACCCATCTGTGAAGACATCCTGTTCAGGTTATCACACACACACACACACACACACACACACACACACACACACACACACTGGGTTTTTTGGGACAGGGTCTCAACATTGCCCTCTCTTCATAGCCACAGCTTTCCTGGAATTCACTATGTAGACCAGTCTGGCCTTGAACTTAAAGATCTGCCTGCCTCTGCATCCTGAATGCCAGGTAAATATTAGCTGTGACTCCTGATAAGACCTTGAGCTGCTGCCCCCAGTTCCCAGCTCCCTGTATCCTCAGTGTGACTTCTGGGCCTGCAGGGGACGTCAGTATACTTCATCTTGCCAGATTTCCGCAGCCTCCAGCTTGAAGTGGTAGATCATGGAAAGGTTGAATGGAAGAAGATAAAACACACAGGCTAGGTAGGAAGGGGGTATTTGGATAATTTTATATGAAAGTTTAATGAGAAATCTCTTTAAAATGACACATTTCTACGTCTTTCTTCATTAAAAAGAATAGAATAGAAAAGGAGAAAAGAGGAAACTGGAAGCTAGAGACAAAATTTGCTCAACAAACCAGTTCACTGACTCATTAGCATAAGCTATTGCAATAACAATTTGATTTATCCCATTTTAACTTCAATGTTTTTTTTTTCTTCTCAGCCCAGCCAATTACTTATTTAGTAACCTCCCATTTCATCTTTTACAAAACTCTTGAGGAAAAGAAATGGTTGACCAGGTGGCGAATCTCTCATGTGATCTGCAGGTCCAGCTCTCTCCTACTCTAAGTCTTAAATATGATTTGGAGAAAGTGACTCAGTTGCCTCCATTTCCCCATTTGAAAATACAGCCTTCTCCTTTGCAGCCACTTGCGTTTTCTATCCACAACACATGCCCAGTCAAATGAAAACTTTAGTGTAGGTGTGTGGTTTGGGATGCCCAAAAAGGCCTTTCTAGCTATATCAGGTAATTTACATCACTAAATAGTGAATGCTTTAAACACACACACACACACACACACACACACAGAGAGAGAGAGAGAGAGAGAGAGAGAGTGTGAGAGAGAGAGAGCACAAGCATGTACTACATTTGTAGAATATCTGTGTAAAGATAAAAGGGACTTCTAACTAAAATCTCTTTGCTCCCTTTTAAGTTGATTTCTTTACTAGAAAGGAGTGGAAGTCACGAACATCTCTCTGGCGTCCTCCATGTGCCTCTGCTCTGAGATGCTCTCGCTTAGTGATTTCTTTCTGTTGGTGGTGAAGCCAGCACCTCGAACAACACACCCATATCATCTGAGCGCAACCCAGTGGGCTGGTGGCTGCCCCATGCCCCTGCAGCTCCAGAGCTGCCTCTGCAGCTGGGATTCATGCAATAGGAAGACGCTGGAACATGCCATGGGACCAGGACTGGTTAGGCCTGCCTGACATTGTCCTTTCTCTTAGCCTGAAAAGACAGAAACATGTGGCAGCCATACGGGTTGCTCATCTTTGCTCTCCTGGCGTGAAAATGGACAGATGAGTCTGGAAACACGGGGAGTCAGATAAATAGCACAGCTGACCAGCTGTGGCCTGGTGGGTTCATGAACCAGAGAGAAAGAGACTCACGCAGCCCTAACTGGCTCTTAAGGTTGCTAGGTCAGACAGAAACATGTGGATGTCATTGTGCTGCTCAAATGCTTCCCACAGGAAGGAAAACAATTTTCTTGATGCTGATTTCTCTCCAAGTGCTAAGAAGCCTTCCTGCTTCACTGTAGAGAGTTCCTTGGCCTGGTGCCCGATAGAAGAAACCTTAAGCGGGAACGGCACAGAAGCCCCTCTCTCTGGTCCACATCAAAATACTCTTGTTTTCCCCAAGCACATTTTCCCCCTTTCTCTGTTGTTCACTTCCTGTCCCATCACTTCCTGTTCATCTGTTTCCAAGCAGGCCTCTCACGCACTAGCCCCCGAGAAGGCCAAACACAGCAATGAAAGGCACCAAGTGTGAAGAGGGAGGCTCCATGTTCTCCGACATCTACCTTGCTCTCGGATGAGATGGAGCCTGATGGAGCATGGTCACGATAAGGTCATATTTACCAATCTCTAGAAGCCTCCTCTGATTGCAACCGTTTTCTTAGTAGCTTCATCTACCAAGCACTAGAAATAAAACTCATGCTCCTAGCTTGTGCCCATCTGAGATGTGTGGATCTCTTCTTAAGATTTTTTTTTATTTAGTTTATTCATTCACAAATTCACGCACAGCTCCAATGTACTTGGATCATACTTCCCCATGTCCCATGAGCTTCTTTTATGGTTTCCTTTGTCTCAAAAAGTTCCCCTCCTACTTCTGCGTTTCTTATGGGTATATGAGTCACCACATTCAATTAGGATCACTTTTTGTAAATTGGGGGTAATTTCCTTGAGCAAGGGCAACTTAGCAGTGGCTGTACAACTGAGGGAGATGAAAGCCGCTTCTTCAGTGACTTATAACTGCCAGTAACTTTTTAGGCGGCGGGTAGGGCCTCATGATCCCTCCCCTGGCCTCGATGATTGTCGGGCCCTGACTCCTGCAGGTAACTGCTGCTGTGGCTAGTTCACGGTGCAGTGGCCAGGTTTTCAGGCATATATCCACTTCTTTCTGAGAATGTAGAAGTTGATTCTTCCCACAGGTAGGCTGAGTGGCTCACTCTAGGCTGGGTCTGTCTCTCACGCCAGCACTGTTCTCATAGTATTTATTATTTCCTGGACAGCCGAAGGCAAAACCAAAGTGTTGGAACTACAGCAAAAACTGAACTGCTCTGAGTAGAATATTTATATTCCAATCAGCTGGCTCTCCAGCACCAAGACAGGCCAGTGAAGACTGTCCACGGAGAGTTTTCCTATTTATTAAAATTACTTAGCTTATTGGAATAAATTGGAAAACACCCACCAGCCAGGCCAAGTGACCTGCAAAGCCAATCAGGAAGAGATCAGCATCTGGGATATTGATAGGACAAGATTCCACAGCAGAAAAAGAATCTTCTGCTAAGAAAAGACTTAGTTTTTGAGCTAAGTTGTATGGACTATTTGCATGCTTGCTGGCCTAGCCTCAATGTAAATGACCTTGGAAGAAGAGTTTGGGAGCACCATCTGGATAAGGCAGCTGAAAAGAGAGATTCTTAAGCATGAATATATGGCAAAAAGCAGACTGTCCAAACTTGGACACTGTTACAGAGAAAAAAAAAATCCACGTCAACCTTGCTTCCTCAGAAAGGGTTATTTTACAGTAGACCAAGAGATGGACAAGCCAGGTGCTACACAATTTGACTCAATTACATCTGCTCTCCTCTTGGTGCTACCATATTTGTCTAGTATAGATGGGATGAGGAAAGTAGGAAAAGGAAGTAGGTAGGGTGTACTATTTTTCACTCTAGAAGACATTGGATCTCCACTCCACCAGGGGGCAGGCTACACAGCGCAGATCATAGCGTGAGCCAAGGCAGGCGCAGGTCACAGGAAGAGCTGCATCCAGAATACACCCAAAGTCCCTTCCCTTTCAGACACTTTCCTCATGAAAGCTGCCAGTCTCAGCTCTCCTGGACATGCTCAGGCCCAGCGTGTTCTCTGTGTCAAATGGATGAGATGCCAGGTAGTCCTTGTACACCCCGTCGATCAGTTTGGCAGCATTGTTTCTGTCAAACCAGCAGTCTACCTGCTCTTGCCCATTGTAAATCTTCCTTTGTTTCCAGACAACCGGAACTCGGCGTCCTTTCACCTTTAGGATAGCCTCAGGAGTCTCTTTTGTCTGAGGAAATGGCTGATGACTAAGATTCTTGCCGTACACTGCAGGAGCTTCTATGAGTTTGGCATCCTGGTTCAGGAACTGACCTGGGAGCAGGGGAGGGAATATTGATATAAGATGAATGCCGAAAACAGCTGCCAGGAAATCCTGCTTCTAATGTTGGTGATGCCAGGGGCAGGAGGGTTTTTCATGGACCACCAGTTCTAGAATGGACCCTCCCAGAGGCACTCATTCATCCAGTCCAGTCTGTGATGGAGCCTACGCACAGGACTATATGGAGAGGAGAAAGATGATCTTCTCCTCACCATGGTGGTCTACCTCTTCTGGAAACTGCCCAGCTGCTAATGTTGACACAACAAATGGAGTTAGCACAGTCTCCTGCTAAATTAGGAGAGAGCAACGTGGTAGCTGGTAAGTAGGACATGGAGCCATGCCTCCCCACCCCGTCTCCTTGGTTAAAATAGATCCTTCTTTATTCCACCCACTCATTGTTTTGTAGGGGTAGGGTAGGGGAAGCAGTTAGCTTAGTTCGCTGCTGACACTCAGCCTCAGAATTCCCCAGGTCAAGTGAGGGCATCGCTCAGGCCAAGAGAACACGGATCTGCATCTGTGGGATGGAGCTTATACTTGGCAGCCAGACACAAGAAAACATACCAGGCTCAAGTGCCAGGAAATCCTGCTGCTAAACTCAGCTCTGAAAATGATTCAGTCTTAATTTTTGGGCAAAGGGCCCACGTGAGACTTCACGTTGAGGAAGGCCAGCCAGCATGGCCTGCCTGTTGCTCGCAGTGATTCAGATGACTCCCTAGGAAAGGCATCTGCCTCTCGTGCTCAGTACTGGGCTGCCCTGAATCTGTTTCTTCTTGCAGCAACCAGGCCTTTGGATGACTGCTCCTCACCTCTGTGTTTGAATTCTCAGAAGTCTAGTGAGAAAGTCTAGTGTTAAGACCCACTCCTGAAACAAGGGCTGGGGAGATGTCTCAGTCAGTCAGGTTCTGGCTTCACAAGAGTGAGGATTCCAGTTTTGTCTCGAGAACTCATTATAAAGCTGGGTATGTTGGTACATGTTTGTAATTCTAGAGCTGGATAGGTGTGGGGTAGAGACAGGAGAATCTGTGTAATATCATGGGCAGCTAGTCTATGGCTACACGGAAGTTCTATGGCTGATGAGAGGCCCTGCCTCAAACAAAAAGTGGAAGTCTTCTGAGGAAGAATACCCAGGCTTGACCTCTGACCCCCAAATACACGTGCACCCCACACATACATGAACACACATACACATACAAAGATAATCGAATTTTCATGTGACGTGTGAAGTCTGGCATCTGGGTCAATTGTGGACTGAGGATCACCAGGGGAACAGGAACTGGTGTGGAGCGCATAGGCTTCCTTCCTGTCACCATCCGATAAACAGTGCAGTACAACAGCTACTTGCACGGCACTAGCATGTAAGTAATCCAGAACTTATTTACAACAAAGGGAAGAATGTGAGTAGATTTTATGCAAATTATGCACATCTTAGCTCATCCTTAGATTTTCAGTGATCATGAAGGATGCTGGAACGACAGCCCCAGAGGATCCTGGGGGATAACAGGGAAGGACCATATACTCCCACTGTGATGTTTCGTCAAGCTCATGCTATTGGCCTTATGTGCTTCATTTTAAGAAAGGTAATTCTATCCTCTAATCACAGACTGAGCAGGGGCAGCCACCTACCTAACAGCCCGTGGCAATTGTTGGACAGGCCTTTGCTGTTGGCAATGTAGAAGCCCAGGTGGTTTCTCTGGAAGGGTGCTGGCTTTTTGTAGAGGTGAACGAGGATGACAAAGGCAATGGTGCGCTGGATGGTGACAGTGACATTGGCGTTGGCAGATACCGACACCTCCAGTCCTCGGCTCCCTACCACCACACTCTGGTTGCAGGGGAGGACCAGCCTCTCTCCGCCATCCAGGATGACCCTGTTCGGTGTGATCTCAAGGTAAGATCTCTCGGGACGGTTGATGAGGATGGTGATGGTGCGGAAGTATGTGCGTTGTTTCTTGTGGCCATTCGGAGGTGCCGGGGCCCCAATGAGCTCTCCATTCACAGTCACACCTCAGAGGCCAAGAAGAGAATTGTGGTTAGGAAAGCCATGTCTACTTTCAGGCTAAAGACATCTGTTGTGGTTTGGGCATGAACTGTCTATCCAAAAGGCATATGTAAAAAGGGCTAACCCCTCAGGTGGTGGTTCTATTTTTAGAGGTATTGGAATTAGGAGTTAGAGGCCAGCTGGATGAAGCAGGCTGCTTGGAAGATGAAATCTTGAGAGTATCTTATGGCAGTCCTATTGTTTCTCTGACTCTCTACTTCTGGACAGCCATGATGTGATTTCCATCTGTTCCACAGTTTCACTACCATGATTCTTTGCCTTACCGTGGACCTAGAATTAATGGGGTCAAGGATTATGAACTGTGAAACCGGGACCCAAAATAATTTTTTCTTCCTTAAGTTTTTGATGTCATGTGTTTTGTCATTTTTTTTTAACAGAAAGCCATAGATAGTATCTAATGAATTTCCTTCCACCTTTCTTTATCTTTGCATCCCTCACCAAGACTGAATTACACCTATGGGCTACTTAGTGGTTGCTGAGTGAGTGAGTGAATGCGTGGAGCCATGAATGAGTTTCCTTTCATGTTTAAATTGTAGGAATAAAGGAAGGAAGATATAGCTTTGGGTCAAACTATCACTGAGAGTGAATCTCTTTATGTACTTTCATTCCCGTATTACTCTGTGCCTGCTGGTGTGGTTAAAATCCTGTCTTTGAGCAGGATTCGAATTTCAAATGGCTTTTTAATTCAGAAGGCCAATTTCTTCTACCTAATATGTGTTTACCTTTGGATAAATCAGTTAAAATATTAATCTGAAGTTCCTTGTCTTATAAAATCTAGGAGGAGTATAAAATCTAAGGGAAGCCGAGGTAGTATCACAGAAAGATAACTTATGTGAAAGTCATCAACTGCCATTGAATGTAACTCCTTCTCTGTTTACTACATTATAAGCACAACTGCAACTTTCCAGATCCCTGTAAGACCTAGAAGCTGGATCCCAGAGTTCACTGGTGTGTCACTGAACAACAAATAGATGCAACTATATATGAAATATTTGGGAGTGAATTTGGTGATGGATGCTGTATGTTTTGCTTCCAGGAAAAGAGGTAATTTACACTAATAAAAGGGTGCTACATAATTAATTTTTGTTTTTTGCTTTTGGGTAGACTTTTATAAATCTTGGAAACTTCTTAACTATCCAGGGAGAAAAAGCCTTTTTGATCCAGCAAAGATATGAAGAAAGGAGAAATCCCAGCCTGAAAATGCACCCTGCCCTTGGGCTTAACACTTGCACATTGATTTCATGTCTTAGACACTGTTGTGAATACATAAACCACAAAGGAGCTTGACGTTGTTTCTTTTTGTTGCTATGGCAAAATGCTTGACAGTGATAAGGAGAGAAAGGTTTATTTTGGTCCATGGCTTCAGAGGATTTCAGTTCATTGTGGTAAAGAAGGCATGGTGGGGCAGCTCTCTCCACAGTAGTGGGAATATGTGGCAGAGAGCCTTAATGCGGGGATCAGGAATCAGGGAGCATAACAGCAAAGAGCCAGGTAAAATATATGTGCACCTTCTCAAGGACCCAATCATGGTAACTCACTTCCTTCAAGGAAGCCCTGTCTCCTAAGAGTTCTACAGCTTCCCAGACAGCGCCATCATCTGAAGACAAAGCATTCGAAACCTGCACTGTGAAGGATGTTACCCATTCAAACCTTATCAGGCTCTTAAGAAGAAGCTCCTCCAGGTAGGGATGCGGTTAGGTCACTGGCTCCAAGCCAGCTGCCGTTCAAATTAGAAACATTAGAGATTTAACTCTGAGGTTAGAAAGGCCCGTGCGATGGTGAGCCTTGCCAAATTGACACAACTTAGAATCATCCCAGGAGAGTCTTGAGGACAGATTGTCTACATTGGGTTGGCTTTGGGGCATGACTGCAGGATGGCCGTTATTAAGTTGACTGATGTAGGAAGATCCAGCCTACTGTGAGCAGCACCATTCCCTAGGCAGGGGGTCCTGAACTGTATAAGAGTGGAGAGATTTCTTTCTGTTTTTGACTCTGAATGTGATATGACCAGCTTCTTCAAGTTCCTGCCACTTTTACCCTGGAATTATGGGACAAAATAAGCCCTTTCTCCCAGGTTGATTTTGGTCAGGGTATTTTAGCACAAAATGACTGAAATGGAGTGAGGGCAGCCTGCAAGAAAACAATCCAATAAAGGAGATGAGGGATCAAACTTCATGTAATTACATCACAAACACTACCCAAGGGGGTTATCCATAACTTGTCCTGACAAAACACTTAGTGCTTAGTACTGGCAATATTACAAGTTGCATGCCAAAGCGGTCCTCATGACACTGGGCTGTGTGGCTGTCTGTGTGGCTGTCCTGATACAGTGTTATCTGCACTGCACTCAAAAATTATTCTCTGTGCTAATTTCTTTTTACCCAGTCCCTCTGTAGACCCAAACTCCTCTTGTGGGCTGCATGTTTAATAGCTCCAAGGACTATGACCTCCCTACCACTACAGCTTCTGAGTGGAAAGACGTAACGACAATAAGATGTGATAAATGTCTATAGCACTTGAGTGTTTCCGTTCACGATTCAGTTGTATCTACTATGTAATAGCCTGTGAGACAAGCAGAGTATTACTATGTCCATTTCACGGAATAAAAGCTACAGCTGCTATGCGGCATGTCCAAGGCCAGAGTGTAAAGTAAGGGGTTGAATGTGTGTCCAGAACCTTTGTACAGTCCCAGCCATCAGTGCCTGCTGAGCACCTAGAATGCTCCCTTCTCTAACTGGCCATTCATCTTCAGCACAGAGGATGAAATGCCCACTCCCTTTGCCTAGGCACCACAAGAGAAGGTAGGACTTACCAGAGTCCAGGTGATCAGAGACCAGCCGTAGGATGTCCCCAGGCTCTCCATCAATGTTAAAGCAGACAGTGAGCTTGCTCAAGGGGAAATCCACAACAAAATGGGGATCGCCATCCACTATCAAGAGCAAGAAAAAAAGAAAAAGAAAAAAATGTTTATTGGCTAAATATTACTTTGTTATCAGATGGATAACTGTAATAATAATGCAGAAAGAATAGTGTTCTCAATTCTAAATAAGAAAAGTGTACAGAAATGTAATAATGGCCCAAAGTTACCCAGTTAGTACCCAGTGAGGGTTCACTGACTTCTGGATTCCTGAATCCAAACATAATGGTGTTTCCATCACACTTCTGAGAACTAAACTTTTAGAGATAAGATGATATAAAAAGAGAAGGGGGGGTTTAAATGTAGAATTTTTAGTGACTATTGAGTTTGACTTCCCATGTGGATACTCATATCATTTTCTTTGTCCCTTAACTGTCAGTAGAGACCCAGAGCTAGAGAGATGGCTCAGTGGGTAAAAGCACTGGATCTCTACCCTCCACCCCCCGCCCTGCACACACACCCAGGACTCAATTTCAGTTTCCCGTGTGCACATGGAAGCTCACTACCATCCATAACTCCTGTTCCAGGCAATCAGACACCGCCCTCTGGTCTTTTCAGGCACTGTATTCAAGTGGTGCACAGCTGTGCAAAACACTCAGGCTCAATCAGTAAAGGAAGCTGCCTCCCAAGTATAGCGACCTGAGTCCAATCTGTAAAAAAGCATGTAAAAAGCCAGGTGTGGCAGCCTGTGCTTTTTAATCTCAGCGATCACTAGCCGAGTGGATCCCTGTAATCTTGGTGTCAGCTACTCTCACCTACATGGTGAAGTTTCAAACCAAGGGGAGATCCTGTCTCGTCGAAAGGTGGAAGGTACTCAGGAAACGAGACTGGAGGTCATCCTGTGTCACACACAAACACGCGCACTCACCCACATACAAACATACGTGGTGGGGGTGAGTTGTGTGTGTGGGGTTGTGGGGTGGGGTAAGGGATACAAAGCATCTGTCCTGACGGTGGAAACAATGTCCACCTTTGGCATTGGTGTGTGTGGTTACAGCTCGGCTGTCTTAAGTTTCTGCTGCGCTGAAAACCTAACGTCCCCCCACGTCCCTGTCCAAGCGAGGGTGTATAGAGGAGCCCGGCAGGCGTCAGCACAGGCAGCGGCCAGCACAAAGGTTTGCTGGCATCCCACACGCACCTAAGATCGTGCCTTCTCTCCGTGGAACACCCTGCACTTCCATCCCCACAGCTAACCACCGGGATGGCCCTGGCTTTGTGAGCATGCGCATCTGGCTCATCAGCAGAAGGGCAAGAACAGAAACTCCACGGAAGACGTGGACGCTGGGAGAGTGAAAACCCAGACGTTCCTCATCCAGATTCTTACCATATCACACTCTCACAAGACACTGCCAAAGGGAAGCTTTACTGCATCTGCGGTCTGGGCTTCCCTTCAAAGTTGAGAACTAAAAAACAACAAAAATCAAAAAAGGAGAAGCCTGCCTCTACAGCCAGGCATCGCTATTTGGTAACACCATTTTTATCCTGGGGATAGCAGAGGCTGGAAGCGCACGTCCCTAAAACGCAGGGTCCTTTAAACTCAGTCATGACTCATGATGGTTCTGGTTCACATGCCTCACGCTGCTGAATAATGCAGGCCGCGAGGACACGTCTGTGAGCTCCCGCTTTTCCTGGCTTCCGAGAATGTGCAGAATTCCTTACTTCTCAATCACTCAGCCACTTACCTGATGTTTTAGAGATTTTAATTCTCGGCTCGTATGGTTTCTTGAGAGCAGGTCCTGAAAAGGACACAGAAGAGTGTAGTTGTTATTGGTTAAAATGTTTGAAGAGGCACAGAGAGCGGCAGGTGGAGATGAGGAGCACCCCACAGCCTTCCGATATGTTCATCATAACTGTGAGAATCAAAAACCCAAAGATCACGCGTTCCAGGCAAGCCTGGGCTATCTAGTGGGACCCTATTTCAAACAATAAGAAAAAACCAAACGCAAGAATTAAAAAGATCCTTCAAACATGATCCAGGGCAGCAAGAATGACTTGGCAGGTAAAGGCACTCTGCACCTTGTCACCAGGCCTGACAACCTGGGTTCAATCCCCGAGCCTCACGTGGTGGAGGGAAAAAAAATAACTCTCTCATGTTGTCCTCTGACCTCTACGTGTAGGGGCACACTCATACAACAAGTAAATTAAATGTAACAACATGTTAAATCAACAAATCAGAATGGAGTCTCAGTAACTTAGCCAGCAGATGCTCCGCCTGTCTGGGACGGGAAGCAGCTTGTGCTGGAGGGCCTGAAATCCTCAATACATTTCCAGGACGACACACCCCATGGGGGGGCATTTAATATTAATAGAACACTCGTTTCATGCCAAAGGACACTGGCTGCAGAGTTAGCGCTGGCAGTGTTCTCTCCTGGAACTCAGGACTTTCCCCACCTACGGGTAAGTGACTGTCCTCTCGGGGAGGTCCGTAAGACTGTCCTGGACTTCCTAACTGCTCTGGAGGGTCTGTGACTCTGGACATGCTCTCTCTGCCATTGCAAGTGCACGTCAGAGTTTAATGTGAGAAGTAAATTATCTGGCCTTTATGGGATTCTGGGAGGGCCTGGTTCACTTCAGTCTCCTCTTGAGGAGATGGAAATTTGACAAGAACGATAAAACTAACAATAAAAAAACCAGGCCACTTTCCGAGTGTTGCTGGCATGGATGGCGCAGCCCTTTGCTTTGGTTTAAAGTTTTCTCCTGTCACTAAGAATTCCATCAACTGGCATCAGAATGGCTGGTGTGTAAATCACGGATTTTCAACAGTCTGCATATAAAAATGTGTATATATAGTATTTGTTTCTATTTTTGGCGAGACAGGACTTTCCTACATAGCCTAGGCTGAGCTCAAACTCACTGTCTGTCTGTCTCAGTCTGGTGTCTCAGCCTCCCCCCGTGCTTTCCATTGCTCTTGTGAACTACAGTTTAGAACAAGCAGAGCTATCTGAGTTAGCACTTGGTGACCGCGCACTTCATGAAAGGTCATTGTTTATACCACTTGCAATATGGGGTAAATAAAAAACAGACTTCTGCCGAGGTGCCCTTGGCCTTACAAGGACCTAGCACTCACAGGCAGGCCACCCCCGAGGCTGTGTGTGCTACCTGGCTGCCTGTCGGCCCCTCGAAGGCTCTGCACCACCGTCTCAGGTCCTGTGGCCGCAGACATGCCGTGGGTGTCCTCCAGACGGCCTGTGTGCAGCCCTGGCTTCTTCAGCTTCATGGAGGTGAAGGGGGTGAGGAAGTGGTAGTTCAAGGCTAAAGTCTGGGCCTTCTGCCTCAGCTGCTCCTTCTCGCGTTCGCTGTTGCTCTGCAGCCAGGAGCTCAGCAGCTCCTTCACAGTGAGGTAGCTCCAAAGACGCTCTATGTGGTTGGGGTCCTCCCCACTATCACTGGCAGAGCCGGGGTCGGTCGAGACGTCATTGCCCAGCTTCTGGGAGTCCACGGGGATGTCTTTTTTGAGGATGACAAATTTCTTACTGTTGCTGGCAGTGATCTCCACATGCAGCTGATCAAACTTCCTGTCTACCATCTTCCCGGCAATGACGATCTCAGAGCCATTGAAGTAGTTGGGGAACAGGGTCTTGGTGGCATGCTCCACCACGTCAGGAGGATAATCTATGCGAATGTCAGAAAGAAGCGGGGTCCGGATTTCATCGTAGAACCTGCCGAGGTAGGACAGAGGGAGTCAAGGCCTGGCTGGGCTACAGGTGGTCAGTCCTGAAGGAAATCAGATTCTCAGGGGGCTTGGGTCTGACTATGCTGGAGATCGCCTCCTGCTCTGCACTCAGCATGGTGTGTGTGTGTGTGTGTGTGTGTGTGTGTGTGCATGCGCGCGCGCGGTTTCTCTAGACAAGGTTTCCCTGTGTGGCCTCGCCTGTCCTGGACTCGCTTTGTAGACCAGGCTGGCCTTGAACTTACAGAAATCTGCCTCCCTGAGTACCGGGATCACAGGCGTGTGCCACTGCGCCTGGCTTGAATATGTTTTTCGAATATATTTTTATAATGTAGGAGGCAGATATATGTGCTCACTTAAACCTTCCATTGAAATTCTAGGAGATAAACGTCAGCCAGTCAGTCCCATAGCCAGCACCTGCTTTGAGTGCATCTCTCAGAGACTTTCAGCTGGGCTTATCATTCATAACCATCTTTGACCGTGGCTGCCGACATCTAGATAAAGCAGACGTTTCCTTTGAAATAGATCCCGTATTTGCACAATGTAGATTGAGGAGTCTGTCAGCAACCAGTGTCTGACACAAGCTAATTCTGTCTTAGAAGATGTAAGTTCTGGATTTTCCCAGCACATCAACAAACTGTTTCAAGTTTTCATGAGTTTTAACTGGTCATTTCACTTCAAGTTATAATACGATCATTTCTCCAGTTATTCAGAATGTCAAGATGTCAATAATAACCCTATGTGACCACTAATGTGTAATATTCAGCTGTGGAAATTTTACTTAACATTTTCCCATTAAACTGTCATTGGTGATAATCCTCATTTTGCAGAAGAGGAAACTGTCTTTCAAGTCATGTATTAAACTCAAATATGACTAAAAAAAACACACATTATGAGCCTGTGTTATGGTAGTACACCCAAGTATTCCAAAATACTGTAAAGACTGAGGCAGCAGGGTTACAGATTCAAGACCATCTGACGATTTTTAGCAAGATCCACATGTCAAGCTAAAATAACAGAAGGGCTAGCTCACTGTTGAGTGGATGATTTAGTTAGCATACACAAGACCCTGGGCTCAGTTACAGATGCTACGAAAGAAATAATTAAAAATAATTTGAAAATAAGAATAAAACACACTGTGACATTCCTCAAAGCAGTGAGCTGTCTTCATTTCCAGACACCAGTAAAAACAAAACAAAAAAAGAACACGCCCTCAGCTCTGTCTTCTTACTACGTTACCCTCAGCCTCCGCCCCGATCTCTGGTTATGAGAAGACAGACCACAGACCCGATGAGCTGGGCTCCTGCCTCCTCCTCCTCCAGAACACGCCGCGTGAGGCCGCAGTTCTCCAGAGAAAGTTTCTCTAGCAGTTTGAAGTCCACGTCACTGCCGATGCCCACAGTGAAGATGCAGATCTGGCCTCCGGCGGCTTCCTTGGTATTGCTGAGAATCTTGGGGGTACTGGTCTCCCCGAAGGTGGGTTTTCCATCCGTGAGGAAGATGATGAGGGACACACTCCGATCTTCAATGTCATTCTGTGCCACATAGTTGTTGAGCAGCCTGATGGCGGTCTGAAGGGCCCCATTGATGTCTGTGCCTGTAGGATATCAGCACAGGACAGCTCATAGCTTTGTGTTCATCTTCTGCCCCTAAATGTACAGTCATAGCTGCAGTTAGCCCTCAGCCGTTCGGGGTCTGGGCAAAACTGCCTTTGTGGGGTGACTCTCTGCCTATCTAGAAATCTGACAAGTGTTTGCTAACTGCAAGGGACTTGGAATTATCCCACTGTAAAAACCTTCTCCTGGAACTCAGGAGACACCCCCCCACACACACACACACACACTGAGTGTGGCAAACCTTATAATCCTAGTGCAAGGGAGGCAGACACAGACAGATGCCTGGAGCTTTTAAGCCAGCCAATCTAGCCTATTTGGTGAATTTCAGGTGAGAGGGATATTCTGTAACAGACAGACAGACAGACAGGATGGAAAGTATTTGAGGAATAACACTTGAGCCTGTCCCCTGGCCTTTACAGGCACTCGTGCTCATATGTGTGTGCATGTGTGTGTGTGTGTAGTGGTAGGTGTGTGCATGTGTGGTGTGTGTGTGCACGTGCAACAGACATAAGTTAAAAGTAAACATCTTCTGAAGGTGTCTGGCGCTGACTCAGCTTATAGGTTTTCTCTGCCTTAGTGTTAAAGGCTTCTATGCCTTTTTTCTGAAAATATCCTTTAAGAAAAACAGGAGGGTGTTGGGCATAGAAACATGAAAGGAGAAAGAGTCATAGAGGAAAGGAAAAAGAGAATGAGGATGTGGGGGCAATGGAGACAATCTGAGGTGCCTGGCCACATTCCCCAGACTAGATCTAGGTGGTTAAAGAACTAATGAATCACCTTCATTTTAATGCTTTCTCCTCTGGGTTTTTACAAGCAGAGGCCATCCTGACCGGATTAGGACGAGGAAGGAGAAATATCCTAATTCCATCAGGATGGCCTCTGCTTGTGAAAACTCAGAGGAGAAAGCATTAAAATGCAGTGCTCCTGGGGGTGGGGAAATAAAGCTGTGGGACACATGTTGGCTGGGCAATGACAAAGACCCGAGTCTGGCTCCCCAGAACCCACATGAAAACCAGACCTGGCTGTGTGCTTTTGCAACGCCAGTTGCAAAACCTCTATGGCAGGACCATAGAGACGTGAAAATGCCCTAGTTCACCTGCTGACCATTTCAATGAACTCCGGGTTCAGGATCAGTGAAAGCCTGTCTCAGGAAGCCATCTCACGCTGACCTCTGGCTTTCACACTCATGCGAGAACACGCACACACACACATAATACACACACACACACACAGACACACACACACACTACCCCTGCCATCCTCCCCTTGAAATGTGCTTGTCATCAGTATCACTGATTTATGTGGTCAGACAGTGCCTTGAGCAGAGGCTAGATAACTGTTTTCTTGGTGCACAGAGAAATTTCACAGTTGATTGCCTGAGCAGGGAAGACCCTGCCACAGCAGTGTTTCTGGATTGGCTAAAAATTCCATCAGCCTTATCAGCCATCGCCCCCACTGTCAAAAGGAAACTCTGTTCTTACTGTAGCATTGGGCATCTGTTCCTTTTAATGATTCTAACAGCTTGAGATAAAACTTGTACATCAACCCCCCTCATTTTAATTCATTAGGTTTTTTAATTGGCTTGAGGTGAAATGTGTATGTCAAAACATTTTCACATTCTAAACACTGTTTTTAGTAAAATGTAGAGTTGTGCTGGAATGGAAAAATGTACCATGTTTTTAAAAAAATCAAATTATTTCCCTCATAGCTTTCTGTCCTCAAAAAAAAAAAATGGAGATAGTGATACTTATCTATATTCCCAGCATTCAGCAAGCTGAGGCAGGAGGATTACTGAGAGTTTGAGGCCACCATGGGCTAGAATGAGACTGTCTCAAAAGAGAAAAACAATAAACAAAAGAAGAAAAGTAGGTGATCTGTGTTCGTGACAGACACATCCACATGTTTCAGTAAACCGCACAGGGTCCAGACAGATGTGAAAGCTGCAGCTGGAACAGAAGCTGACAATTTTTTGAGTCGTTAATTTGCCTTCTTTTTTTTTTTTATCACATATGACTTCATTTCACCTCTGCAAATGTGGACATGAACAAATAGCGAACATGTGTATTGTCTTTCATCCACACTAACAGCGCCAAATCTTTTCTTCCAACCTGAAGCCAGAGAGATCCGGGGCAAGATTTTGTAGACTTAGCATTCATGCTCACACGCACGCATCCCGGGCACATCAGGGCTCGGCACCAAGGTTGTGCCGAGGCAGGGCGTCTCCTGCGCATGCACCAGCATGGAGTCCTCCAGGAACATCCCACACAGCTGTCCAGCCAAGCTGCTGAGTGCCCACGGGTGGCCCAGTACCACAAACGGACTACTCCATTGAATAAAATTGAAGACCACACCTGAACTTAACGCAGATGAGGGAGAACAGACCCCTTATCTCTAGGGCCCTTCAACACACTTGGAATAATTTAACCGTTTCACTCCAAGAGCCAGGCTATCGCCACCCTCTCATCTTATAGATGAGGAAAGAGGCGACTGGCTAATAGGTGGTAGAGCTAGATTCAAATCCAGGAAATCAGGCTTCAAAAGCTGTGCTCCAACCTTAAAAGTACATTTCTTAGAGAATGCGGAGTCCTCTGATGTCCTCCAGGAGAGGGCCGGGCAATGAAGGCTCAACAACAACAACAAAAACGAACAAACGATAGTTTAGTGGTAGAGAGCTCTCACTGCTCTTGAAGAGGATCCAGTTCAGTTTCCAGGACCGGTTTCAGGCACCTCACAACTGTTCTAGGAAGCAGTGCCCTCTTCTGGCCTACGTGGACAGTTGCACACACGTGGTGCATATAAATTCATACATGCACACACATGTGAGAGAGATTATACTAGTAAATCTAATCTGTGATTTCTCACTCCCAATGACAAAACAGTTCTGAAAACTGGTGGAAAATGCTAGCATAAATGACGGTGTGGGTCATGTGTGCAAGTTCAACAAGGGGTTGATCTGGGAAATTGGGGTTCTGTCTCAGAAAGGGAAGGGTGAATGTGAAGAAAATGACAATCTTTGGCTGGGGGAAGGCTGACCTGAGCGTTTTGTATAGTGTTTCCAGACAGTGAAAGTAGACTTAACAGACACGAGAATTCTACAAATAGCATCTGTGAGTTTGAGAAAGGGTCAGGTAGGTGTTGGTGAGAAGGCTCAGCAAGTAAAGGCATTTGGTGTCCAGGTCTGACAGCATAAGTTCAGTTCCAGGAGCCCACACAAAGGCTGACGGAGAGAATCAACTCTGCAGAGACATGCCCTGGCTGCCTTAAGGCCACCATAGTGCATGTATGCGCCCCATTTAAGATGTTTCATTTTTAAAGAAAGAAACCACATACAACACGGTGGGCAGCGGAGGCGCCTGGCTCACTAGTTTTATATGTGCAGTGACTTGGCGTCCAGATCTCTCCTCTTCCCACCCCACATCCATAGCATAGCCCAGGGCACCTGAGACCCATGCTCACTCACCAAGCCACAGCTTAGGTAAGACCATCGCTTGTTTTACAGGGCAGTTCCATCTGCCACTGCTTGAGCACATACAAAATGCATGCACTTGGCTTCAGTTCTCCATCAAGGGAGAAGTGACTCAGCAGTTAAGATCACTTCCTGCTCTTCCAGGAGAGCCAAGTTCAGTTCCCAGGACTCACATCAGGTGGCTCACAACTACCCGTAATTCCAGCTCTACGATTTCTGATGCCTTCTTCTGTTTTCCATGGGAACCCTTTTATGCTTCCTTTGTTAGTACCAGCTTCAACTCTTGGAGCCTTGCCTCTGCAGAGAAAGAGTCAGTGTCCTTGCCAAAGCTTGGCAGGAAGGCTGGTGGGCACCATTCTTACCTCCAGTGGGGGACAGGTGGTACATGTAGAGCTTGCCATTCCTGATGTTCTCAGGAGTCACGGGTACCAAGCGGTCCTTCCACATTTTAATCCGGTTGGAGAACCCAATGATATTGAAACGATCCTGGGGTCGGAGGTCGTTGAGAATTGTGACAAGCGCTTCCCTGGTCTAGGCAAAGACAAAGCCCAAACTGGTCACAGTGAGCCCATTTGTCCTTGTGCTCCCTGACTTAGAAACTGACAACCAGGACCAACTTCAGGGTTCACACTCGATGTCTGCTATGTAAAGAGCACGTATCACACGCTGGAACATGGTATAAATATGTGGCAGTTGAATAGAAGACACAAGTAAGTGTTTTACTTGGTAATAGGCCACATGCTGCTTGCTACCAGCCACGGTGTGGCAGACCACTGCATTTTCACAACCACCATTCTTTTTCACAACACTTAAATTGAAGTTTGACTTTCTATATGTGCATATGTGTATACGGGTAAGTATGTGAATTCACATTTGACGTGTCACACGAGTGGGTATCCGAGGACATTTTGTGGAAGTTATCTCTTTCTGCCATAGGAGTCCTATGAACTGAACACAAGATATTAGGTCTAATAGCAAACATCTTTACTGTCTAGCCATCTGACAGGCCCCAGCCACCATTCTCTTGAGCCATTATGTTCTTCCACGTTGTTTTGTCCGTATCTTTCAACTGAGAAGCCACTCATCCTTGTCCAGTACCCAGAAAGTTCTCACTATGAAAGTTTTCTCACTGCTCCAAGGAGGCCTGTCATTTCTTCTTCTAAGCTGGCCCTCCATTTAACATGCTCCTACCATAAAGCACATTTCAGAGTAATGATGGCATATTTTATATTATTTATTTATTTATTTATTTTATTTTAATGGATGTTATGTTCTCTGTAGGTGGGTTTCACTCATCACCCTATCACCCAGTAACATTCAGGAAGTGGCAGACACAGGGGTAGAGGTGAATGAATGACTTAATATTTAATGAATAAAATTAAAGAAAATATTTCTGTGGTGGTCTGAAAAAAAACAGTCCCCAGAGGCTCATAGAGAGTGGCATTATTTAAAATTATTAGACTTCTGTCCTTGTTGGAGTAGGTGTGGCCTTATTGAAGGAAGTGTGTTACATGACAAGTACAGACAAAACCTCTGAACTTTAAGCCAGCCCCAACTAAATGATTTTCTTTATGAGAGTTGCCAAGGTCATGGTGTCTCTTCACAGTAGAAGAACTTTGACTAAGACAATGTTATTTTTTCAAAGATTTTCTTACATTTGTTTATTTGTGTATGGGAATAAGGCGTGTGTGTGCCTGTACACTGTCATGTGTGGAGGTCGAAGGGCAATTTGTGAGGGTAGTTCTCTCTTTCCACATGTGCGTCCTAGAGACTGAAGTCAGCTTCTATGCTTTGGTGGCAAGAGCTTTTATCCACTGAGCCATTTCTGGGGAACTATCATGGGATTTTAAAATATCACAAAAATCTCTGAACCAGAGTGACATGGGGATATTCTATAAAGAAAAGAGTCTGAAGCTGGTTATGGCAGGGCACACTTGTGATCCCAGCACTCAGGAGTACTGCAGGACTGAGGCTAAGGCCAGCGTGAGCTACATGGTGACATTTTGTTCTAAGAGCTGAGAGAGGGGTAGTGGGAAAGAAAGAATGGATAGGAGTAGGAGAGGAAAGAAGAGAGGAGAGGAGAGGAGAGGAGAGGAGAGGGGAGAAGAGGAGGGAAGGGGAGAAGATGGGAGAGAATGGGAAGAGGAGAGGAGAGGAAAGAAGGGGAGGGAAAATCCAGAACCCAAAGGAAGCAAAAGAACTGGGTAGCATAGAGAATAGAAAGTAAAAAGAATGAATAAGCAAAACTTCTTGAAAAGGGAGTACTAGTGAATTTGGGGGATGATAACTGGGTAAGGGTGACATGCTTTGCATAAAAAGAAACTATAGAAACATGAAAAGAGGAAAAGTCTAAGCCTGGACAAAAGATTTCACGATCACACAGAGATACTGTGTCAACTCTGCCGTGTCTCATCAGTATTGTCATCAGACATTTGAAGAACCTCAGGGCATGAAGTTAAGGACCTGCTTTACACAGTCACCACAGCAATGACCCGAGCACATTAATTACCCTCTGTTCAGCCCTGGGCAGGAAGCTCTGTGGCGTACATCGCTGCTCCTACGTTATCTCATCGGTAAAACCAGGATGACAGGGCCTGCCTCCTCAGTCATGAAGGTTAAATCAGGGATAAGATGAAATGTGCCTAGAAGGGAGCCCTCCCGTTGCTGGGGTCCAGTGGGAAGCTCAAGGAGAATTCAGAGAAGCAGTGGCTTCTAGGGGTAAGCTTGCAAAGTAAAGGGTGGGGCAGAATGTACGTTTGCTCTAGCACCATGCTGGCCTTTCCTTGGGTATTGTGGGTCTTGATCCATAACCTGGGTCCAGACAGTACCCTAAATTCTACCTCTCCCCCCCCCTGGGAAACTCCCCTCCACTTTCCAACTCTCCCTTCTGATGGATCCCCTCCTCTTCACTCCCTAGTCATCTTTCCATCCCATATCGAGGTGCCCAGTCTAAGCTCTCACAATCCAAGTCTTGAATTCCAAAGGAACCTACAAGATCCACTGCAGAAAACTATGTGTCTGTGTTTTAAATGCCCCATTACACCCTCTCCTAGAGAGCTTAAAGAGCTTCTTCCCCGAGCTTGCATTTGCCCAACTTCCTGGTGATTCTTGCTGAATTGTTGTTCCTTAAATTCCCACCATTTCTTCATTCTGGGGGCTTGGAAAAGCAGCGGAGTCTGGAAGTATGCAGAAGATAATGATGGTGATTGTGCGGGTGATACTAACAGCCACTATTTCTACTCGGTAGACACCGCGCTGAATGCAAGATTCATTCCTGGCTCATTCCTCATAATCATCGGTGGTAAAGCCTTGGTCAGTATTCCCATTTGTATGATGCAACTGAGGTATAGAGAGATTAAGAATCATGTCCATAGGAAACTGGATTAACATGCAGGAAGTCCCATGCCAGGACCCACACTGGCATCCAAGACAGTGGGATCTGCAGCTCCAAAACCATTGGAAGCCAAGCATACTGAGTTAGAGCCTTTCCAGGGTGCAGGTTGTTTTGGAAACCCTCCCAGCTTGCCTGCCAGGCTGTTTCTTTCTTTGTTTCATTCAGTTCATTTTTTTTTTTTTTTTTTGGCCACAACTAAGGGATTCATCCTCTATAACATCCATGCAGAAAGGACTGTAGGAATTCCACATGCAGCAAGAAATGAGAACAATGGGCATATTTCATTAGTTCTGTCTCTGCATCCTTCCTGGGGCTGCCTCCCACAGTCCATCTCCTCATCCTTCCCAGGGATGCCCCCTACTTCCAGTTCTTGCAGAAAGAGAGAAGCATGGGAACACTTATTGTCCCTATGTTCTGTGTCTTCTCCTCCTACTGGTTCCAGGCTTTCCTTCAGAAGCAGAATATTGAAGCAGAGGGTTTCTTTTCACCTTCCCAGGTCTGATTCCCACCCCCAGGAAATATGACGGACTGTTCTGAGACAATACATAGGGTTTACCTTCCAAAATGCTAGCACTTCCTCAGGGACATCTGTGAGATGCTCTGCCATAAGGGCACATCCTTCATAAAGCTCTGTTAGCTCTGGCTTCTGGAGGTCCCTCCCTCTGCCCAGTTCTGTCAGCCACAGAACTTTCTTATTACTCCTTTAATAGAAGAGTCCAAGAGTGGCTTTTTCAGTCAAATTTCCAACCAGACTCTCATACCTCACTCATCACCTGCCCACCCCCCGCAGCAAATTTATCTTTATCCAGGGAGCAACCACCAATCCTCTCCCCCCAGACTTTCAGATTCACCTCTGAGATGGGCTTCTCTCTAAATTCAGGACAACTTGTCAATCAGTTCTCCAGGCAGGACCTTGGGCAGCTCAGATTCAACTTGCTGAAAACTGGAAACTTTATTTTCTTCTTGGAGTCTGTTATCCTTTGCTCTGCTCTCTATCTCGGGCAAAGGAACCTTCAGAAGCCCCAGAGTCCAACTAAAAAAGGTGGACATTGTGTCCAGTTTTCTTCCTCCCTCACCTGCAGCCCCCAAGTCTGTTAGCATCCCATCCTGGAATTTCAGGATTTTTTCTTTCTAATTATCTTCAGGATTGTAATCTGAGTGTTTACCATTTGTTGTTTTCTTTCATTTTACTTATTAACTTCCCTAATTTGAGATAAGGATGTAGCCTAAGATGACCTGAAATATGATATATAGCTCAGATAGACCACCAACTCATGGCTTCTCCTGCTTCACCCGCCCCAGTGCTGACTGTCTAGGTATGTGCCACCATCTCTGGTAGTTGTGGTAGTGATGACAGCTCCTCTTCCCCTCCTTCTCTTCCTCTCCTCTTCTTGAGTCTCACTATATATCTCCTGGCTATCCCAGAATCACAGAGCTTCTCCAGCTCCTGCCCCTTCTCCCTCTGACTTCTAAATTCCAAAATTAAAGTCATTTCTAAAAGAACAGAAGAAAAACATAAAACTCACACAATCGCGCTCAGCTAGAAACAACTGCTGTGAAAATGCTGCTGTGCTACAGTGGTTCCTTCAGAAACTTTCCCATCTCTCTGTGAAAGAGAGATTCACAGAAGCAAACAAACAAACGAAAAACAAGAAGAAGAGAAAAAGAAATGGATTTAGGAACAGAGAGGCAGAGAGGTAACAGACAGATTTGATTTTGTTAGGGAATGTGATGACTATACAAAAGAAAATCAAATGGGTCTTTGGGAGCTGTGATGGCTAGTGGTTGTTATTAACTTGACAGAATCTATACTTGACTGGGAGATGGGCCTCTGACCATGCCCATGGAAAATCATCTTGATTAATTGGAGTGGCAAGACTCATCCACTGAAGGGTACACTATGCGCTGGTTGGGAGCCAGGGCTATATAAATGACGAAAGAGAATGGAGCAGAAGAAGCTTCCATCATTTTGCCTATTGACAATGGATGTGCTGTGATTAGCTGCTTCAAGTTCCTGCCACTTGACCTGCCTGCTGTGTGAGGCAGAATAAATACTTCTCTCCTAGGTTGATTTTTTTTTTCCAGAGTGCTTTATCATAGCAATGGAAAAGAAATAAAAAACAAAACTAATGCAGGA